TGATTAAACATTCAGAAAATTTCTGCTTCAAATGACACCAACAAATAAGGGAAAAGATGGTTTGCAGGAAGAAAGTATTCACTAATCATTTATCTGATACTTGTATGAGGGCTGTGTAAGAAACTCTTACATCTATCAAATAAAAAGATAATTTAATTATAAAATGGCCAAGCTTTTGAGAAGATGAATCTCCAACAAAGATACACAGGAGGCTAGGAAGCACTGGAAAATATGGTTAGTGTCATTAATCATTTGGGAGATACAAATCTAAACCGTAATGAGATACTGTTTCATACTCATTAGGATGTCTGATATCAGAATGATGGATAATAACAGCACTGACAAAGAATGTGGAAGAATCAGTGCCATCATATATTGAACATGGGAAGGTAGGGTCGTGCAGACATTTAGAAAATATTTCTAACAGTCTTTCAAAATGTTAAACATAGAGTTAATGGATGACCCAGCAATTCTGCTGAGAGTTACAATCCCAAGAGAATTGAAAACTGATTTAACAAAGCAGTGTATGCAAATGTTCACAGTAACACCTTCCCCAGTGTCTATCAGTTAATAAATGGACAAACCCAACATGGCACAAGAAAGGAGACTGCTTCTCTGTGGTAAGAAGGGAATTGGTGATGAATGTTTGTGGAAGAGGTGAATGATCCTCAAAAACATCACAAAGTTACAGATATCAATCACCAAGAACATGTATTGTTTCATCCTGTCTATGTGAAATGCCCAGAATAAGCAAAACTGCAGGGGCAGAAAGTAGATTAATGGTTGCCTGGGACTAATGCCAAGTGTGTAAGAAAAATGGCATCACTGTTTAAAGGCAAAGAATTTCTTTTTTGAGGTGGCAAAATTTGGTAAAAATAGACTGAAGTAATAGGTTCACATCTCTGTGAACACACTAAAAACCATTTAGTTGTACATGTTAAATGACTGATTTCTTGCAAAGTGAATTATGTCTCAACCAACTCTTAAGCAAAAGGACCAGGGATGCAGCTCAGTGGCAGAACACTTACCCAGCATGCGCCAGGCTCCAAGTTCCATTTTCAGCAATGCAAAGAAAAAATTTAAAAATTAAAAAATGACCACTCCTAGGCATATACCCAGAAGATGCTCGAACATATAGCAAGGACATATGCTCAACTATGTTCATAGCAGCCTTATTTATAATAGCCAGGAGCTGGAAAGAACCCAGATGTTCTTCAACTGAGGAATGGATTCAAAAAATGTGGTATATTTACACAATGGAGTATTACTCAGCTATTAAAGACAATGAATTCGAGAGGTTCCTAGGTAAATGGATGGAACTAGAAATTATCATCCTGAGTGAGGTAAGCCAATCACAAAAGAACACACATGGTATTCACTCACTGATTATTGGATATTAGCCCAGAACCATGAAATGCCCAAGATGCAACTCACAGGGCACATGAAGCTCATAAAGAAGGAAGACCAAATGGGGGTGATTCGGTCCTTCTTAGAAGGAGCAACAAAATACTCAAGGGAGCAAATATGGAGACAAAGTGAGGGACAGAAACTGAAGGAGGGGCCGTCTGAAGACCATTCCACCTGAGTACCCATTCCATGTGCAGTCACCAAAGGTAGATGCTGATGTGGAAGTCAGGAAGTGCATGCTGATAAGAGCCTGATATGGATGTCTCCTCAGAGGTCTTCAAGAGTCTGACATATTCAGAGGCAGATGCTCACAACTAGCCATTGAACTGATCATGGGGTTCTCAATGGAGGAGTTAGAGTGAAGACTGAAGGAGCTGAAAGGATTTGCGGCACCATGAGGAGAGCAACAATACCAACCAACCACAGCTCCCAGGGTCTAAACCACCAGCCTGGGAGCACTTAGGGAGGGATCCAGGGCTTTAGCTGAATATGTAAGAGTGGAGGGCCCTGCTGGGCATAGGTGGAAGATGAGAACCTTGACCTCATGAGGTTTGGACGCCCCAGGGGGTGGGAATTTTGAGGGTGGGGAGGTGGGAGTGGGGGGGGTAGATAGAGGTTACATCCACAGAAAAGAAGGAGGAGGGATGAGGGGATTGGGGGTTCCTGGGTGGGTGGGGGATGGGGTAAGGGGACAACATATGAAATGTAAATAAAGCATCCAATAAAAAATTTAAAAAAAAATAAAAAATGAAATTACAGATTTGTCCTTAGAACTTTATCCAAGAGAAAGGAAACATATTCGCTGTATTTTTTTTTGCAAATATCCTTTAATATCCTTTGCAATTTTATTAGTCTCAACCCCAAATTGGAGATTATCTGCTTGTGAATAATTACAGACAAAATGTGTGTATCCATATGACTAATACTCCACAGTGAAAGGGAAGAAGCTATGATGAATGCTGCAGTGTGGAACCCCAAGTCAGGTCCAACACAGTGTGCTTTCATTCATATGGAGTGTTTGATAAAAATAGCTACAAAGCTAGGAAGGAGATAAACGAAGCTGAGATCCTCCCTATGCCAGCAGTGGGGAGAAGAGCTTGTTGGATCTCGGCTTGGGTATTAGATCCCTTCCAAGTGTCTTGATCAGCAACTGGGTTAATAGGCATGTGACTTTTTTTGTTTTACATATATCTGTGGAGTTTGCTAAACGAGTGTTTAGTATAATGATAAAAAAAAGCAAAGATGGATTTGTTTATCTGCTTGATTCTGACAGCATGAACACAGGCTACATAGCTTAGAGTCCATTGGAAAGTTACTTTTGAAATGAGTTAGAGGCTGATGGAGGAGGAGGGACCCTCTCTAAATGCATCTTTTCATGTACGCATGGGTTTTGAGTTATACTGATGTTTTACAGTTATTACAGTTATTTCAAAAAGCATGATCATATAATTGTTACGGTACATTAGTGGGGCCAGTCCAGGCAAACCATTCCACCTGATGCTTTAAAGATTTATTTTTATCATTTTAAGTTTTCTCGTGTGTTTGTGTATATGTATGTGTGTGTGTGGGGTATGTACACATGAATGCAGATGCTGTCTTATTTAGGATTGCCTATTGATGTTATTAAACAGGACAAAAAGCAACTTATGGAGGAAAGGGTTTATTTTAGCTTGCAGTTCCAATCACAGACCATCAATGAAGGAAATGAGGGATCCTATAGGGCAGGACTAGAACTCGGAGGCAGGAACTAACGTAGAGGCCATGGTGGAGTGCTGCTTACTGGCTTGCCCCCCATTGCTTGCTCAGACTTTTTTCTTATAACACCCAGAACTATCATCTCAGGGTTGACACCATCTACAGTAAGCTGGGCTTTCTCATATCAACCATCACTCAACAAACTACCCTACAGGCTTGCCCACAGGTCAATCTGATGGGAATATTTTCTAAGTTTAGGTTCCTTCTTCTCAGATGATATAATGTCAGGTTGACATAAAATTAGCTAGCACAGATGCCCTTCAAGACCCTCGGTGTTGGGTCTCCTGGAGCTGGAGTTACAGGTGGGTGTGAGTGGCTGACGTAGATGCTGGGAGCGGAATTGGAGTTCAGCAGCAAGTACTCTAAACTTCTGAACTGTCTCATGAGCCCTGCCCTACCTGCTGTTTAGACTGTAGTCACATGATTAGTGTGGTCTAAAGCCTTATGGAGCTGCTTTTTGGAAGCCAATAATGGCTGCCTGACTTCCTGCTGTGTTCTTCACCTTTGCATTGGTAGCCATCCTGAGATGGGTGGATCCACACCTTGGAAGCTGCCATCATCTTTGCATACATAATGGAACACAGTTACATTTACACACATACACACACACACACACACACACGAATGCACATGCACACCCACATGTACATAAACACATACACACACACATACAAATACACATACACACATGCACACACACAAACACACATACACACATACAAACACATGCACACATGCATGCACACACACATACACACAAACACACGTACCACTTACACTGACATACAGACCCATCGACACACATACACACACACCCATGCACATGCATACACATAAACACATACACACACATGTACACACACACACAAAAACACACACACATACACACACAAAGACACATCCCACACATACTGACACACAGACAAAATGACACAGGCACATTCACATACACATTCACATAAACACACACATACACACACACAAACACATCTCACACACACAGCACACATACACACAAACACATATGCACACATGCATGCACACACAAAGACACATCCCACACACACTGACACACAGACACAATGACACAGGCACATTCACACACACATGCACATACACACACACACACACACACACACACACAAACACATCTCTCTCACACACACACACATGCATACACACAAACACATATGCACACATGCATGCACACACAAAGACACATAACACATACATAAACATACACACAAACACACACACACACATACACACACACACACTATGAGTCTGGGTATCAAACTCCAGTCCTCATGCGTGTAAAGCATGTACATTACTGACTAAGCCAGCCCCTCATCCCCTGGGGTACTTTTCAGTGACCTAAGTCATCTGAGTAGTCAGAACAGACAAAAGTGAAAATATCCCTATTGCTTCTTTCTCTGGGCAGTTTTGGATGGTTCAAATTTTTTTTCCTCCTGCACTTGAGAAGATTAATAACCATGATGCTGGTCTGAATGGCTGTCTAACCGGTCAGCTCTTCAGCCAAAGTTTCTTCTTTGGATTTGTAAAATATATTTTTTTTTCATTTTTAGAAATTTTATTTGACATTGCTTAAGACTGTAAGCCACCCCAAGACTTTCAATTATTTGAGTAATTCCTTTTTTATATCTTCCATCTCCTATGCCCCACACCCTCTTCTGAGCCATCGTAAGGAAGACATTTTGGAACCTTTCCTTTCCATCTGCACTCTGACCCTGGAAGTTGAAGGAGGTCATTGTCACATCATCACTTGCCAACCAATCAGGGGGAACCTCCCTTCACTAATCTTGCTATTTCATAGACGTTCTCAGGCAGCTTCAATGGAAGGAGGGAGCCAAGGAGGCCCTCTGTAAGTCTGAAGATGATCATCACAACATGGATTATGTACATCTTTGCCCGGAAAACCGTAGGGCTACCCTTCCCTCCAAGGGTGAACTCGGTGAGTGGTGGTGGCAGCGATATGGACCTGTGGCCAGCCCATCTTCATCTTTCTGCACTCCTGCTGTGCTTCAGAGACACCTCATCTCATGTCACACTGGTCTTAGTGGGGAGGGTGGGAGCTGCTCTCTGTGGTTTCTGAGGTGTCATCTTACCAATTTGTTCCAGGACATTGAAGTTGAGGAAAGTGAGGCTGTATCCGTTGTGCAGCACTGGTTGAACAAAGTGAGTAGAAGTCTTCTGTGACTCATTACCCAAAGTTCTAGACTGCAGGGATAAAGAGGAGCCAGGAATCATGTCTTCACTCGCTATACAACTAGAAACTCTTTTTTCTAAAAAACAAAAACAAAAACAAATCCCCCCCCAAGAGTATTCATTCTAATATCTGAGAGGATGTAGGGTTTTGGGCTGGTAAGAGAAGTGCTGGCGTTGTTACTCACTGTCTTATCAACCTTCTATAGGAGGGAACTGTGCTCAGGTGGTCCCAGGAGTACCTTGGTATAGGGCCCAAGGGCTTAGTGGAGCTTCCCAGAGATTCCAAGGGGAATAGCAATGGGGAGCTTTGTGTAAAAGCTTTAGTAATGGAGTGAGAGTTGTGTGTGTATGTGTGTGTGTGTGGTTGTAAGTGTGTGTGTGTGTGGTTGTGTGTGTGTGTGGTTGTAAGTGTGTGTGTGG